GACGTGAAATATTTTATTCATGCAAAAGTGATGCAATACGTACGAAGTCTGAAGCAACTAACGTGGGATGCGTTTCCGTACAAAGGGCAAAGGTATACATTTCCGTGCGGAAGCTTCGCGCGCAGACATTGTTACTAAATTGAACTATGCTCGTCGAAAAATCCTCAGGGAGGAATTAATCGCATCCATTCCGTTGTACAAAGCGCGAGCAAAAAATTTCACGGCGAAACATATTCAGGTGTGCGCAAGAAACCGCGAGCTTAAGAAGGCCGGGATCGACGATTCATTTTTATTTAAGCTCTGCTTTTTCCCGTGGATAAGCAGCGTAATTATCGTTGCACTTGAAACGTGCTCGCGCAAGCGAACCAGGGGCTTCTTACAAGGAAAAGATAAGAGCTACGATTTATTTCTGGAGTGCAGTCGTAAATTCGCATATTGATGTAAGTTTAAAGAAGAACCTAACTAACACGATGGGTTTTCCCCGGTCGCTTATATTAGATGCATGCCGATGAGCTACGTAATAAATGAAGATGTCCCGAACGTGAACAGCTTTGAAAAAATTCGGGTTACAGCGAAACTTTTCCTTGTACGACGCCCGCGTCACGCTTAACGACACGAGACGTTGTATAGACACGCGCGTGATTTTTCCGCAGCTGTATCTAGAAGATTAACGAAGAAATGTGTAGTGTATTCTGTAAACACGCGAGCAACCGAGCAAACATTTCCTTATTTCTGTTTGTTTGAGCAACTTGAAAGTGCGCGTCACATCGTGCGTAAATTATTCATTATGATTCGCTTGGAATTTTAAATGGCTTTAAATTTTGTATGAATCTGAAACCAAAACTGCACTATCTCATTGTGACGGAGCGAAATAAAAAAGGCACGTTTTGTATAAAAAAAATCATGTCTCGCCCGAGATCCTTTTCCTGATTGAAAGTACGGATGTGTGTATTAATATTCAAATATTAATATAGTTACAGCGAAATTAATTATCGCAATTAATTTGTGTCCGTAGGGCAAGGCGAAGTTTAATATAAATTATACGAATTTGCTGAATATATATAATAAAAATACACAACATCGTATATTATAGAAAGTTCTAGACTATTCTTTACTGAATATCGATCAATAATTTTTGACAGATATTTACCGAAAATACAACTTTTCACATCGACATATGACAATGTTGACATGGAATGGAAACATTCCAAAAGGCAAGCATGTAAGTCAAGCATATACGTCATATATATGTGCGTGTGTATGTATATACATATATACACACACACACATATACGTATGGCAGAGAAATCGATCAGTGCTATTAATCTTTGCACTGATGCATCAATAAATCTGCAGCGAAATTTTGTTTAAAATTCTTCTATGTTTTTTTTACAGTAATCAATTTTACCCGTCATTCTGTGTACAAAAAGTGAGGTTTATCGAAAAATGAATATTTCACGATATTTCATATCTTGCATTGGAAAGTATTAGAATAAAATAAAAACTGACTCGGAAAGTATTCACTTTTCAATAATTTTACCAGTACCTGCATACATAGTAAAATTGATTTATATTAGAAAAAGCATGCAATTCTATTTAAAAGTTTAAAATCACTTAAAAATCGTTATACTTCCATTCACAAAAGAATCATTGTCACTACGTTACGTTTTCCTCAAGAAACTATGAAACTTTTATAGGCATTATTTCGAGTGTATGAAGTTGGCAACCCACTTTTTGAAATTTATAATTTTGAAAGTTGTTCCAGATTGTTCTGACTTTGTACCACATTGTTCCAAAGTGATATTGCTTCATTCGAAACGGTTTTCGAATAAAACAAAAAAAATGATTTTTTGAGCTGGCACCCCACTTTTCGAAAATCGAATATTCTGATACCGCAATAGATTGTTCTAGTTGTTCCAAACATTGTTCCAAAAGCACAAATCAATAAGTTTAATTATAAGCCCGAAAAATTAAAAAAAAGTTTTTTGACAAACAGTCTATCGGACCAAGAGTAAACTTATACTATCTTTCTTGTTCCAACCGAGATCTTTTTGTTCTGAGTTGTTCTAGGCTTAAGAATTATAGTTCTAGAGTATGAGACTCATAAGATCATTCGTCCTCTGAAAATTCGTAAAAAAATCGATTTGACAGTACTCGACGTCAAACACATACTTTCTTTCTTGTTCCAACCGAGATTTTTTTGTTCTGAGTTGTGCTAGGCTTAAGAATTATAGTTTTAGAGTATAAGACTCGTAGCGTCATCCGTTCTCCGAAAATTCGAAAAAAAATCGATTTGACATTTTGAAAAAGATGATTTCTTACAAAAATTAATCTTTATTATAGGAAAATTGGCGGAAATAATTACAAAATGTCATGACAAAATAAAGTGAAATTGCTTCGTCGTTTAAGCCTAGTATAACTCAGAACAAAAAGATCTCAGTTGGAACAAGAAAGGAAGCATGTGTTTTCTCTTGACGTCGGGTACTGTCAAATCGATTTTTTTACGAATTTTCGGAGAACGAATGATCTTATGAGTCTCATACTCTAGAACTATAATTCTTAAG